AATCGCCCCCTGGGGGGATGACCATGCCACAGTCCCGTCTCCTCCAGTCTCCTGTTGGAATTTTGGGCATGCACGCACATGTGCCCAGTGTGTGTGTCAAGCTGCCTGGTCCAGGACTCAAACTGTGGTTGATTATATGGGAGTCCAGCGACGTAACCATCATCTGCTGGTCCCCCAGCCACATTCCTATCTGGATTCTAACTTAGCTTCTAAACATTCTTTTACTGAATGCATTTTTAAAAATTGTTTTTATTTTCATTTATTGTTTAGGTTTTTGCTGTAGGATGTGTACACTTGCTTGAGAAAGATGGAGAGAGATAGTGAGAGGGAAAGTGAGAAATTACCTCCCGGGGGGATGGCCACACCACAATCCCTTCCTCTCTATTCTCCTGGGATTTCGGACATGCATACACAGTGCTTGGCATGATTTTCAAACCTCTAGGTTTGGGGCTCAAACCGTGGTTGACAAGGTGGCAGTCTAGTGGCTTAACCACTTTGCCATCTGCTGGCCCCCAACATGAGATGATTTTTATTATCAGAAAATAGCATCTTGTATTGCATTAGGTTCACAGGTCCATGAAGAGATCAGTTCTCACAGAAAGAGAATCAGTGTTGCCCTCAAACGGGCTGTGTGTGGACCAAATCGAGACTCAGATCATTAGATCAGGATCCAGTTTTAGAGACCTGCATACTGACGTTTCAGAAGATTAGTGATGGTGACTTACCTCCATTTATCAATCAGTAAACATGTACTGAGTGGCTCCTGTATACGAGGGACTGGATTAGATACCCGGGGCTCCTAGCACATTGGCAGAATTTTCGATGCTAGGGAAAGCTCACTCTTGTGTACAGATAAGGGCTACACTGAGAAGTTAAATTTAGTTGAAGAGCTACCCCAGGGCAAACATGTCCTGGACAGAGACAGGCGGTGAAGGAAGTAGCATTGTAATTCTCTGTCACACGTATTTCTTTTAATGATGGATGACATGCCCTTTCCCAGATAGTAGCAGTAGGTCAAAGCAGACATATCTGGATTTTTTGGAAGGTTAAAAGGCTTCACATTTCACGTACTTAGAAATCACTAAGGGGATAAAAAAATATTCCCAAAGAGAGAAGCACCTAAGTGTATCTAATTGAGTAAGATGAAGGAGAACGCAACTGAAGTACAGCGCCATCTTCCTTTTCGTCTATTTTCTTATCCCAACAAAGCTTGCTTTCCTCTCCTCAGGCAGTCAAAGCTCACCAAGGGCTCAGACTCTCATGGAGCCCACAACTTGGGATATCTGATTTCTTTTAGAAACCACAGTCTCCGCATTGTCATATAAAAGCTGGTTTCTTAGAGTTGTGTAACCACTTTGCAGAAAGGTAATAGTGAAATATTGGCCTTGTATACATCATCCAAAGTTTTAGTTTGGTAACTAGCTCATCAGAAGGATGGTGGCACTCCAGCTTCACCCTACGCATACTGCGTGTGGGTTTTGAAGTAGTTTTGTACCAAATAATCATAAAGTTAGAAAAACACAAGGCAAGCTGATTCAGGTTGCCCAGAGTTCCACTGAATAAAGATTTATTACAAAAAAGAGTAATCAAGTTTATGAGTTTAACATAAACATTGTTAACATACTTTAAGTATTTCTAGCCTGTTAGGCAGAAAAGCCAACATTCCTAGAAGTGTCTATTTTATCTTGACTAATCAGTGTTTCCACACATAAGAAAAAGACTTAAGTCAACTGTTGAAATCAATTCTAAAAGAATATGCCCCGTGAGATCTGTTTCTTCATCTGCATCCAGACTCTGGGTTTAAGTATGCAGTGGTGGGGAATACCAGGTGACCCTGGACTGCATACCACAGAGCAGGAAAACTGTATCACCTAAAGCTAGGACTCAAACGTAGCCAGAGATGAGACTTCTTACTGTTGTTCATTGTGTTTACTTTTTCTTTTGCTGGTTTAAGACCCTGTATGTGGGGCTAGCTTGTGGCACGGGGGTTAAGGTGCTGGACTCCCACATGGCCAACTATGGATCAAGTTCTGGACCCGGAAGTTTGCTTTCTCACTTTTCCTCTGTCTATCAGTCTGTGGTGAGCACATGTGCCCTATGACAAATTTAAAAATAATAAGTAAAATAAATATTTCTTTTTTTTATAAAAAAAAGATCCTGTATGACACGTGATATCACCACTGTATCATTACGCTGCTGAGCGATGTCATTGGCCTTTTCAGTCAACTTTGGTGCTTTCATGTTCATTGGTGAGCCGTGAGTTATTTATTTCATCATCTGAATGCCCTACAATCTCTGAGTAAGTCACATTCTGGAATTCTGAAAGTAGCCGAGGAAGAACCTGGCATTGGGCATATGACGGTTCTGAAAGTGTATGGTTTTCAAGGAGAGAGGCTGAGCTGGTAAGGAGAAAGGCTGCTCCTGCCAGCCATAGTGAAGTCTCTCTCCTCTTTAAAACTTCTAAATGCCACTAGATAGAATCCACCGTATTTTCTAGCAGTTTTTTTTTTATATGACACTAGTATCTGTATTTTTATCATAAAGACTCAGAAATCCCAAGAGGTGGGACCCCTTCCTTAGGTGGGACTCTACAGTACTTTGATATGGAACTATTTGGAATCCATTTTTACTTTGAAAGACGTGCAAAGAGAATGATAGTAAAATGAGAGGGTTCAAAGTCATATTCTAAATAGAGGCCTTGGTACGAGAGAATGAGGCCTTTCAAAGATGGTCCAAGAAGGTAGTCTCCCGAGGGCTAAGCCAGCTGTGGTTGCTAGCCATGCAGGAAGCCACTGCTGTCTAATCTTACAAAGTCTATTTTCTTGCCAAATGGCATTTAGAAGCCACTGATAATTTAATTTCCTGTCCTTTGTTGTTACTGGAGATTTACTTGGGTTCTCAACTCAGCTCTTAACAGAAAAGCAAGTCTTCGTTGAGGGCACAGTTTCAGTATGGCCAAGCAAAGACCACAAGGATTTGAGGAGAGTGACGTTCCCCTTGCCGTCACCATGAGGGGCCACCTCTGTGAGTTACAGCGCCAGTGTCAGAGCTGCCTTACGTAAACAGTGCACACTTCAGGGAGGTGAAGCCCATGTCCACTGTGTCTCTACTTTTTGTTGGTGACCCAGTTACGGAGGGGAACAGCCCAGTTTTCTTTTTCGAGAACTGAGTAAGAATCATTCTTCATCTTGCTAAGTGTCTTAACGGTGACACAACTGTCCCAGGCAACTGTCCGTGCACAGGAATGTCGCTCCTCTGCTTCACTTGGCAGCTTTCTGGAGATGGGGGGAGTGTCTGTGTACCAGCACGAGGCCCAGAACACGGTGCTTGTTGGGGGGCCCGGTGTGTTCTGTTTGGAGGCTTGCTTCTAAGACTGACCCGGTTCGGAGTGAGAGTTCAAGAACCTTTGCCCAGGCCGTTCCGAGACACTGGGTGTGGTTTCCTTAGCTCACTCTGTGCTATTTGGTTGCCTGTGGCAACAGGATCCAAACAACTTGGACATGTGTTTGTATAAAAAAAACCGGGAATGGAACCCGGAGCGAGAGTCCGCGCCGTTCAGTTAGTGGAAGATCTGGGGTGAGTACCGGGCCACTGCTCTTTTATTTCCCCTCGTTCTTTCTCTCTCAGTTACACCCGGGCGTCTGCGAGCACAGACCCAGAACCGTGTTGGTGGATAGTTTGAGAAGAGTCTCGGTTCTCGTGTTCCCTGCTCTCTAGTTATCCGTGTACATTTCTCTTTCCGGGGGAGAGGACCAAATTAGCATATGTTTAAGAAGTCGAGTGCTGTCAGAAACTCACATCGGGTCCCTTTCTGGCGGCAGAATTCCGTAGGAAATGACTTGGCCAAGTAGGCGGCAGTGGCGGTGTTGTCTGGGGTGACAGCCTGGCCCGGGGTGGGGAAGGAACAGGGATTGTTTATCCAAAGGGAATTGGGGGGGAGCCACAGAATAATTATTCGGCTTAATGTTTTCTAAAAGTAATGTTGTCCAGATTCTATTTTAAGATGGCAATTTTTAAAATAGCAAGTGTCCCACACGGTAACACGTCAGTGAATGCATTGACCCTTACTTGCTTGACCAAGAGGGGACTGGGGTTTGGTATGTCACAAAACCATGCATCGCTGTGACAGAGGGATCGGGCCAACCCCCGCCGTTTTGGAGGACAGCACTCGCACCATCCCTCTGTCGGCAGCAGACTCTCGGGCAGAACGCTTTAGAGTCTCTCCAGGGATTTCAGCGCGTGGGCTAGATTTCAAGTAAATTTAAACCTTTAAAACCGGGGAATGAGGGAGGATTGCTGTGGATCTGCGGTCAGCTCAGTGTTGTTCCGATGAGGAGGATCTCTTGGATAGGAAGAAAGGGGGGCCGTCTGGGGGATACTGTCTCCCCCACCCCCTTCCCCCAAGTATGATGGAGGAAGAGGTGGTCGCCCGCTGGGAGGCTCTGGCTTGTGGCACACTGGGTAGCCCTTGGGCAAGGGCCTGGCACCTGCCACTGCCTCACCTGCTGTGTACTCCATGGGCACCCTTTGCTGCCCCAGCCTCTGCCCAGTGTACTTCCTTTGTGCGGAACCGTATCTTCCTGCCCTCTCCATCACACTCCTTCACTCCCTCGGGCCACTGCCCTCGGCGACCCCCAGGCTCCGTCGGTGGCTCCAGCCAACAAGCTCTGACCCCCTTGTTCCCCAGCACAGTGCCCTTTTGAGTCTGTGTAGTGGGCTGGTCCCCTGTGTCCTCGGGGTGTCGCTGGCCGTTGACCTTGAGCCCGAGGGAGCTAGACTTGGGACGCTTTGTTCTTGGGAGGCACAGTGAAGTACCTGCTGCCTCGGCTCCCAGTGGCTGGCCTGGCTGAAGGGGAAGCTGGGCCTGGTTCCCAGACCCGGTGGGCTCTGAGAGTTTTCTCAGCCATGCACAGTATTGGCATAGGTGCCTCAAAGAGGCTCTGTGGCGGATTGCTTTGGTGTTGCCGTTGCTCATTCGCTCTGCCTGTTTGCCCCCACAGGTCCCTCCAGCCACAAGGTGGGCACCATGGCTGAGAAGTTCGACTGCCACTACTGCAGGGACCCCCTGCAGGGGAAAAAGTACGTGCAGAAAGATGGCCACCACTGCTGCCTGAAGTGCTTTGACAAGTTCTGTGCCAACACCTGTGTGGAATGCCGCAAGCCCATCAGCGCCGATGCCAAGGTACAGCTGTCCCCGCCTGGGACCAGGCTGGGCAGACAGGCTTTGGGGTGGAGTTTCCTTGGAGCCAGAACTGTAGCGGCCCACCCTTAGCCTTTGTCCACATCCTGACTGCTGCCTTGAGACAGCCCTTCGTGCTCCCCAGTCTTAGTGCTCCTACCTGTGGCATGTGGGCTTGGACCAGGCACAGACCCCTGCCAGCTTCTTGACAGACCTCCAAGTATTTCAGGATTGCGACTCTGTCATCTCAGCTCAGCGTCCCTCCTGTTATTTACAGGAACAGGCGGGTCGGGCACCCCCCACGTGTGAGGGACTGCGTCGTCTCTGTCGCAGTAGTCAGCCCCAGGGAAACTGAGGGGATGGTTCCTGCCACTTCCCCCAGCGCCCCTCACGGTGGCCCGCCTTGCTCTGCTTGGTTTCCAGGAGGTGCACTATAAGAACCGCTTCTGGCACGACACCTGCTTCCGCTGTGCCAAGTGCCTTCACCCCTTGGCTAACGAGACCTTCGTGTCCAAGGACAACAAGATCATGTGCAACAAGTGCGTCACTCGGGAGGACTCCCCCAGGTGCAAGGGGTGCTTCAAGGCCATCGTAGCAGGTACTGCCCTCCTCCCACCCAGGGCTGCCAGGGAGGTGGCCCCGAGGGCAGATGTGACGGGGCTGGCATGGTGGGGCGGGGCCGATGTCGCTGTGAGCTGCTTTGAGGCTGTAGCGTATATATGTACACATATACATACGCGTATATATGCGTACACATATATGCTCGCACACACGCACACACTCGGAGACTAAAGAACACTGGCGAGAACAGCCTGTGGCAGGACAATGAAGTGAACAGTATGTAGCACTTTCTCACTTGGGTGTAGTAAGTGACCGGAGCATGCTTCCCCCTCAGGGTGTAAGCTGGGCCAGGGAGCCCCTGTTGAATCGCTGAGTCCGCACAGGGTGTAGAGGCGGGGGAGTGGGGATTCAGGCGTCTAAATCCTAAAGTGATCATGCTGGGGTCCCCGCCCCTGACAGAATCCCGGGTTGGCACAACCATGAGTAGGGCACGGGGAGGACAGTCGGAAGTGTGAGGCCAGTGACTGCAGGGCCTGCATCCCCTCACTTCCGGAGGACCGGGAGGGAGCTGCGGGGATGCAGCCCCCTGCAGAGCCTGGCAGTGGGGCTATCCCATGGCTTCCCCCCTGCAGGAGATCAAAACGTGGAGTACAAGGGGACCGTCTGGCACAAAGACTGCTTCACCTGCAGCAACTGCAAGCAAGTCATCGGGACTGGAAGCTTCTTCCCTAAAGGGGAGGACTTCTACTGCGTGACTTGCCATGAGACCAAGTTTGCCAAGCATTGCGTGAAGTGCAACAAGGTACAGTTTCAAGGGGAGTTGCATGGTGACTGGCGTTTCTAGAAGCATTTGACAGTTTGCAGAGCACCTGCACACACACTATCCCATTCCATCCTCACGACAGCCCTGTGACGTAGACATTATTATTCTCGGTTTACAGATGAGGAGACTGTGGAACCGGAAGGCAGTGCCGTGGCAGTTAGGCTGTCAGTGTGCGTGCTCACTCTGAGGGTGTGGGGGCGACCCGTGCCATACCCTGCACCGGGCAGCCTTGGCTCCAGAGGCCTGCCTCCACCGCTTATTAATAGTAGTTGTGTAACCTCCCGAAGGGGCTCGCCTTCACTGAGCCTGGGTGTCTTCATCTGTAAATTGGGGATAATAATCGCACCTGCCTCCCATGGCTGTTGTGGAGATTAAATGAGATATTGTATACCAAAGCGCCCAGCACAGTGCCTGGCACATAGGAGGCATTCAACAAAGTGGAATTTGTTGAATCTGAATCCGGTGCTACACTCCCTGGTCTAGGCCATCACATCTGGAGGAATCACTTACCAGGATCAGCCCTGGCATGCCGAGTGCTTTGTGTGTGTTACCTGCTCTAAGAAGCTGGCTGGGCAGCGTTTCACCGCTGTGGAGGACCAGTATTACTGCGTGGATTGCTACAAGAACTTTGTGGCCAAGAAGTGTGCTGGATGCAAGAACCCCATCACTGGTAGGCTAAAGAGTCCTTGCTAAGTCTGCCAGGCTAGGTTTTGCGCATGGTAACCATCTCTCATTTTCCTACGTCGGTTTCATCCACAAAGGCCCCCAAAGAACGCCCCTCTCTCCCTGCCATTGTTGTCCCAAAGGCCCCCAAATAGTTCGGATCCTCCCCTAGGCCAGGTTAGCCTGTGCAACACAGAACACTTCCTGACTACTGCTGACTAACAATGCCGGGAGTTCACCGCCTGAGACCCACTGGGCCGAGGGCAGGCACTGCACGGGGGCGTCTGTGGGGATGGGAGGTGGGGGCGTGGGGTGTAGCTGAAGGCTAGCTCAGAGGTGCCTGTTGGCCGGGCTTTTGTTTTGTGTTCCGTTTCGTTTTGCGGTCAGAAGCAAATCTAATCACTTCATTCCTCATCTCGCGCCGCGATCCACGTGCCCTGGGCCCTTTCCCCTGTCTCCAATTTTCCCGTCTCCCCGGGGAGCCTTGAAATGTACATTTGAGAAGACTTTTGCCATCCTCAGGGAAAAGGACTGTGTCAAGAGTGAGCCACCCAGTCTCTAAAGCTAGGAAGCCCCCAGTGTGCCACGGGAAACGCTTGCCTCTCACCCTGTTTCCCAGCGCCAACCTCCGGGGCAGGCATCCGGGTGGAGAGAGGACTTGTCCCTCGTGGGTGGTGGTTCTTTATAGAAAAAATCGAAGCTTAGCAGCTCCTCGAGGCCCGGTAAGTGCACACCCCACGGACAGCCCAAGTTTGCCTCCTGGTGGCCACTTTGATGCCATGGCCCTGACCTAAATCAAAGACACTGGTTATGCTGGGAGGTCGGTGCGCGTCACAGGGTGATAGCGGTGGCATGGGAACGTGGGTACTTTAAATCGGCAGATGCTGGCTCCGCGGGTTGGTCGGCTCTGTGGACGGGGCAAGTCGTCATTTTGTCTCTCTGAATCAGGGCTCCTCACCTGTATTCATTCAGCTGTTTCTCTTGTTTTCTTTTGTTTTGTCCGCAGGCTTTGGTAAAGGCTCCAGTGTGGTGGCCTATGAAGGACAATCCTGGCACGACTACTGCTTCCACTGCAAAAAATGCTCCGTGAATCTGGCCAACAAGCGCTTTGTTTTCCACGAGGAGCAAGTGTATTGCCCCGACTGTGCCAAAAAGCTGTAAAGTGACAGGGGCTCCTGTCCTGTAAAATGGAATTCGAGTCTTGTTGTTTGTGTCCTTGCTCTCTGCCCTACACCATCGATAGGGGAAGAGGGGCCTTTCGCCTCTTTCCGGTTGATCTTTCTGTCTTTTCTCCCATTTTACAGTGTTACTCAAATATAAGGGCACACAGTGATCATATTAAGATTTAGCAAGAAGCAACCCTGCAGCAAAGTTAATTTCTCTACAGCTGCAATTAAGAACAAAAACTTAGATAGATTGACTCTTCTGCATGTTTCTCATAGAGCAGAAAAGTGCGAACCATTTAGCCACTTAGTGATGTAAGCCAGAAGCATAAGAGAGGAAGCCCCCACTGAGAGGCCTTGGGCGGCTCCGCAGGACCCCACCTCATAGTCACCCGACATGCCGGAGTGGCGGCGGCTGCTGCGAATCGCTGCTCACCCTTTTCCGTGAGCAGGAAAAGGACTTACGAAATGCATGGTCTACCCTCCTCCAGCTCTTCCCTTCCTTCTGTTCTTGCGTGCTTTCCAATGACTAACACGGATTTCCAGGAAGTTAACATTTGAACTTAGCTGTCATTCGAAACGGGCCCTTCCCCGTACTAACGTTTGATTTCCCTGTGTGGCATGTTTTCTGAGCGTTCCTACTGTAAAGCATGGAACGCGCAGGTGATTTGGAAAGTGTAGGCGGATCTGAGAAAACGAACCTGTTTCAGAGGAACATCGTCACAACACGTGCTATTGAACGCTTCACCAAACTAACCCTGCTTCCTTACTTTTCTTTACATTGATAATATTTTTGTTTTACTTAATAACAAAATAGTTTATGGTTTGGAAACTTGCATGACAATATTTTAGCCCCTCAAACGTTCTTGCAGTTTGGAAATTTATCCTGCAGAAGTAACTGTCCAGCTCCAGAGGGGTGGCTGAGCAGGCGCCAGGGCTGTCATCTACATGGATGTGACATTTTAAAACCGTGACGAGTTGGTTCCCTTGTAACATAGTAGTTGTCTGCTCTTTGTCCATGTGTTAAGGAGGACTGCCAAGTCCCTTCTCTTGTGATTCCTAGGACTTGTCCTCGGGAGCTTAGCTGGATCTCTGGGGGAGTGGGGAGGCCACCGTCCTCACAGGCAGAACCAGATGTCCACTTACTGCTTACCTGACGTGCAGGATCACCTGCTTGCTGTATTCTCCGTTATTATATGACATAGTATAACACGACGGTATCAAAAGTAAACATGTAATGACAATACGTATTAACATTTTTGTAGGAGTGGTTAGAGAAGCCAATGCCTCATTTCTACATTTTGTCATTAGCTGTGATCATCTAACGTTTCCGTGTATCCTTACAGAAATAAAGCAGCATATAAATAACATGCCTCCTGTCGTTTTCTTCAGCCCTGTGGAATCACCTTAAGGCAGTACTGACCTGACCTGTTTCTCCCTTACTTCGAGGATATAAGAAGTCTGGTGCAATTGCATGGGACCCAGGAATTATAGGCAAACCAAGCTAACACCACTTTGAACCAGTTAAAAAATAAATAAATAAAAAAACAGAAACCACTCAGAGACATAAAATAGCACTTCTCAATTTTCACATCTCTTCAGAAGGATGGGCTGGTTTTATTTGGCCAGGATGGTGGGGGTGGGGAGCGTGTCACCGAGAAGCGTGACCATGGTCCCTGTTTGGCTGGGTGCATCCCCATAGCTCCTTTCCCCTTGCCCCCTGCAGCCCAGGATCCCTGGTGAGCACTCCTACACTCTCAACTATGGCCCCCTCTAGGGTCTTGAGTCCCTTGCTCCCCTTTGTGGCCATGGCTTATTGGGGTACTGCTTATTGAGGCCCATGGACTTTAGGCAGAGGTGGGGAGGGCATAGCATGGGCAGAGATAGAGGGTCAGCCTGGCCCTGCAGCTCCCTGGTGCCCCTCACACCCACATGATTCATCTCTGAGGCTCACTTTCAGGGTTGCCCACCCCGGGTGGTAGGTGGTTTTCAGATGGCCCAGGAGGCCCAGTGCAGCATGTCTGCTGCACCATCCACCCCGGCCCCCCGGCATGGAAGGCTCTGCAAGCCAGAAGGCCACTGCAGCTGCGTTCCAGCTGCAGGCAGAGTGGATAGGGAGACGGGAGCACTCGCAGATTGTTTTTTTAAAGAATTATTTGTTAGTTTTGAACTTGCTAGAGGACATGTGCACTCACCGGGGAGAGAGGGTGAGAGAAAGTGGGCCCCTTGCCGAGGGGAATAAAAGCAAAGGGCAGGAGCCCTTTGGTGCTGCCGCTTGCTATCTGAGAAGGGAATCAAACCTGTCAGCGAGAAACCACAGGCGTATTTCCCTAGATTAATTAGCTGCTAAAACCTTTAAAGTGCAGATGAGTACAGCTGTCTAGAAGAGCACAGCTATCCAGTTATTGGGCCCCGGGGCGGTGGGCAGGCTGGGCTCCTCATTGCTCCTCGCTTCCTGAGGGAACAGGCCAACTTCTGGAGATTGCTGGAAGGGCAGGAGCCCAGGGGCTCATGCCTGAGCTGGAGAGGAGGCCGCCCTTAGCTGGCCCTGGCCCTGAGGACTTCGGCACCTGGCTTTTGCCTGCCTGCCCAGGAGATATCTGGATGGCATCCCATGCCCTCCACTTCTGCTCGCTCCTCTTGGGCCAGCCTCTGGTTCAGCGTCCAGGTTGGTCCTCTGGCTGCACACTCCCTTCCCGGACTCTGACTCACTCTGACCGCATGAGAACTTTGAGTCCAATTTCTTCTCTCAGCCCCTTGCCACCCTTCCTCCATCCTCTCCCTGTCTGCCTTGAGTTCCATGCTTTACCACTGCGGCCATTCCTTCCCCCTCAGGCCCATTATCCGTGTGCTCTCCTGTCCGGCCTGGCCTGCCAAACCTGAGCTGGTGGCCTGCACTCTGCTCAACTGCACGCTCTAAAATACCTGCTGGCACCACTCCACTGCTTGCCCCTTGCTCCCTACACACACCTTCCACCACTGTCCTCAGCAGCAGACTGAAGGCCCCTGCAAGTCTGTCAGCTACTGCTTGTCATAAGGTGCCTGCCCGTAGCCCATGCTGGCATCATAGCTTCCGTTTTCTATATGAGAAATAAGCTCAGAGAAGTTAGGAACCTTGCCTGAAGTCACACAGGTAATAACTGACAGGTCATACTCTGAGCATACCCCTAGCATATCGCTAAATGCACTGTGTTGTCAGAAACAGATGTGTCACAATGAGAGAACTATCAGATATGGTGCTCAGTACTAGTCCCTGGGCTTGCTGAATACATTTAATTAACAAGAGGGACAACCTCGGGAGGAATGACAGATGTCTACTTACCAAATTGTCATTTCCTCTCATAATGAAGGGGGTCAGAATATCAAGGATGTGGCCCAGCCAAAGTGGTGCAGGTGGGAGGGTGTTGCTATGCGGCACTGGGGTCACACGGGAGAGCTTGGGGTTCAGAGCCAGGTAGACTGGAGTGTGCTGGGGGCCAGGGGCCACGGGCATGCCTGTGATCTTGGCTGACAGGAAGGCTGGACCCTGTTGGGGGTCCCGGACTCTCATGTGAAACAACATTATAAAGGATGTCAAGGACATACCTGCTTTGTGGCTAACAGGGTGGGTTCTGGAGCCAGGCTGCCTGGGTTCACATCCTGGCTGCTCTGCCATTGTCTACTTAGGAGACGTAGGGCAAGCTACTTCTCTCTGAACTTGTTTCTTCACCTATAAAATAAAACCGAAAACCCCTACCTTGCAGAATCCCATGCGGATGACATAACGCGAGTGCTTAGCACGGCGAATGGCAGCCCGTGTGAACAGTCATTGATTAGCAGTGACTTTGCCCCCAGCACCAAAGACACTGTCCTGGTGTTGATGACCTACCCTGCAATGTGTCTGCTCTGAGAGTAGTGTTGGGTGTTGGCTCGAAGTTTGGGGTCAGCTCTGCCTCTTTCTAGTTGTAGGACCTGGAACCAATGCCTATCTCCACAAATTTCAACATCTCGCAGGTAAAAGTGAATACATCTGGGGCTAGCAGGCAGCATGGAGGTTACGGCGCTGGAGCTCATATGGCCCAACTGCACAGTTCGAGTCCCAGACCCTGTGGCTTGAAAATCATGCTGAGTGTGCATGCTCATGTACCTAAAATCCCGGGAGGGGAATGAAGAAGGGATTGCAGCATGGCCATCCTCCCTGCAAAGGTGATTTCTCACCTTCCCTCTCTCTTTCTGGCAAGCACACATGTCCTATAGCAAAGCTAAAAAACAAACCAACAGGGAACCAGCAGTTAGCGTAATGGCTATGTCGCTGGACTCCCACATAGTCGACCGCGGTTCGTGTCCCGGACCCGGTGGCTTAAAACTCACGCCGGGCGCGTGTGCGTGCATGCCCAAGATCCCGAGAGGAGAATGGAGGAGAAGGGATTGCGGCGTGACCATCCCCCCTGGGGGGTGATTTCTCGCTTTCTGTCTCTATGTCTCTCTCTGTCTGTCTGGCGAGCGCACGTGCCCTACAGTGAAAATCTCTCCAAAAAAAAAAAAAAAACAAAACAAACCAACAAAAAAGCCCACCTCACAGGGTGGTTGTGAGGGTTTAAAGTGATGCCTCTGGGGCCAGCAGGTGGTGTGGTGGTTGGAGCACTGGACTCAAACACAGGAAATGACAGTTTGAGTACTGGACGTGGCAGCTTTCTGTCTCACTTTCCCTCTCTTTCTCTTACTCTTTCTGGTGAGCGTATATGCCCTGAAGCAAGTTTTAAAATAATAAAATTGAATAAATAATTATTTAAAAAATAGAATAGGGGCATAGAGGTTAAGATGCTGGACTCCCACATGACTGACCACAGTTCAAGTCCTGGACCTGGCGGCTTGCTTTCTCACTTTCCCTCTTTCTCTCTGTGTCTCTCTCCAGTCCAAATTAAAAAATAAATTATATCAAATAAAATTAAATAATTCTTTATTTTTTTGGAGAGGTTTTTGCTATAGGGTGCGTGCACTCGCCAGAAAAACAGAGAGAGACAGAGAGACAGAAAGCAAGAAATCACCCCCCAGGGGGGATGGCCACACCAAAATCCCTTCTCCTCTATTCTCCTCTTGGGATCCTGGGCACGCACGCACACGCGCCCGGTGTGAGTTCTAAGCCACCGGGTCTGGGACTCGAACCGTGGTCGACTACGTGGGAGTTCAGCGACATAACCATTATGCTAACTGCTGGTTCCAAAATTAAATAATCTTTTTAAAGATAAAAAATATGATGTGTAAAAAATACCGACACATGCTACATGTAAACCTAGTGGCAAGTGCTACTGTGCTGGTGGATTTGAATTGGATGAGTGACTAGGACCCTTCTAGAAATACTCTGGAACAAAGGCAGGGAGGCCCTTCTGGGGCCTGCTTTGCCCCTCTAGGTGGGTGGGGCACCAGACGGGGGCACCCAGAATGACACAGGGAATTGGCTCCCTGGTAAGACGCTATGGCCAATCTGCTCCAAACTCTGCTCCTTGGCACTAGCTGTGGCGTTACGTCTCTGGATCCTCTGGCCCTGGCCACAGTGAGTTCATGGAATTTGAGAAGTCTGGAATCTCAGCACTGAAAGGACCGGCAGAGATAGCACTGCAGACCCCCTCATCTGACCAGTAAGGATGGGACTCAGAGGGAACTGACACTCTGCAGTCACAGGACTCAGGCCCCCAAGGTCCCGTCTTGCTTTCTTTAGTGTTCCAGCCTGCACTGTTGTAGTGGTGAGGGGTAGAGTGGACCAGTCAAAAACTTCATTGCACACAGGGTGTTCAGAGTGACCCCCACATAGCAAGTGCTGATATGCAGAATCTGAAGGTAGGGGCAGGGATCCCATCCAAGGAAGAGGAGAGCAAAAGGCTATCCAGAGAAGAAGGGAGACCAATGTGGCCGGAGAGGGGCGCATGTGGGGGGGGGGGGGGGGGGTGGTAAGGGGAAGGCTAGTCAGTGCCCATCACCTCTGAGTCGTAGCACCCTGGCTCACAGTGTCAGGACCTGGGGCCTAATTTGACCAGAGAAGTTTCTAGCTAGGAGGTGGCACAAGGAGGAGGCACTTTTGATGGGAATGGGATGTCTAGTTTGTGCTGATTCCAATGTACACAGGTGCTCTAGGGGACTCAGTGGGGAATGGCTGCCACCACTCTTAAAAGCACCAGACCCCAAATATCAGGAGTAGCCAAAGACTGGCCTTATCAAACCTCAAACCCAGTGGAGTAAAGCATATTCGAAGACTGGAAATGCAACACTGATGGGCAGTTCAGTAACAGCACTGCCCTGAAGAGATGTGCATGTGAGAGCCCACTCAGACCGTGAGCACCAGTGGGTTCACCTCGCCATGACGGGCACAGATGCGAGGTGGGCAAGGCCAGAGGCGGGGTTGTGGTGGAAACTTATTGTTCCATGGGTACAGCATTTCTCTTCAGGGCAATGGAAACGTTGTAGAACTATATAGATGGTGGGGATAGTTGCAAAACCTTGTCCAAGTATACTTTAAAAAGACTAAAACAGTGACTTTTTGTGAAGTATGCTATAATGAAAAGATAATTTAATAAGAGGCCTCAACTGTAAGTCACAGACATCATGGAGAAGAGTGAAGAGTGACAAACATTACATGGTTGTAGGAAGGCCCAGGCTTGACCTTTCACGTTTCCCTGTCCCAGAAGTGGAACTGTGCCGAACCACCCCCTACATGGGCAGGGAAGTCAGAGGATTCCATCACGCCAACTGAACTGCTGGTAGCCTGTGTTCATAGGTTGGTCAACAACGGGTGTCACCTTTAGACCATCAGAAGTACAGTTTTTACTATTATAAAAACAAACAAGCAAACAAGAAACAAAAAAAAAAACAAAAAAAAACAACAACACCAAAACTCATTTTATTTGCAAAGTCTATTTCACATGGCACACTTTCCTATGGAGTTGCAACAGAGTATTTCAATATGTTGTGACATTTGGGCAAAAAGTTTCAGGAACTCACTTGTGAGGATGACCGTCTCTGCTGTCTATCTGAAAGAGCTAGAGTAGGAAAGTCAGTAATAAGCCTAAGGCATACCGTGCTGTCTGTGACAAAGGTACAGCACTCTGTGTAGCGAAGACTAGGTAAGCAGCTGAGTATCTTCTTTTTTAAGTCTTTTTTTTTTCTATAGAGCACATGCACTTGTCAGAAGGCCAGAGACAGTCAGGGAGAGGGAAAGTGAGAAACCAACCCCCAGTGAGGATGGTTATGCTGCAATCCCTTCTCCTCCAATCTCCTTCTGAGGTTTTGGGCACACACATGTACCCAGCATGATTTTTCAAGCCATCAGGTCTGGGACTCGAACCATGATTGGCCATGTGGGAGTCCAGTACCTTAACAACCATACACCCTGCTGGCCCCCAGTAACTTCTTGTTTTACTAATCCAAAGCTGCTAGCCAAAAGGAACACCAGCCTGCTTCATTTGACACTGAAAACTCATTAGGATGGGTAGTTTGTATTCAAGTGTCATGGAGTCACACACCCTGTGTGTGTGCATCCGTGTGTGCACTAATATACAAATACCAACATGCCCATCACAGGACTATAGAACAGCACTGCTCCTGGACTCACTGGCAGCCAGTGGCTGGACAAAGGCAAGCAGATTTTGGTTACGTATCTCAAGCCTGAGTGAACTCTGAGAGACAGCACTGGCGAGTACAAGCAGAAAAAGATGAACAGCATTAAACATTCAGAGGAATTCAATATGCTCCACGAGACAACAGCCACTCACCACTTTATGTACACAATCAACATAGCACACGGTTTTGTACATACACCCCAGTAGGTGCTTCAAAAGGAAACACTGGAAAGACCATGCGTGATGCTGACTGCTCCAAGGTGACATTTCCTGGGACTCCTGGCACCTGGGGGTATCACTACTGTGAGTTGGCTGGCACAGGTGATGGCAGTGATGAACAAAGATGTCTAAGATGGTAAAACACAATTCACTACATTTTGTAGCCTTTGGTATTTGTATATTAGAGACAATTGGAGATGGCTCTTGTGAGCAATTTTGAGTCCCATGCGTGATCTATTATGTTCTCTATAAGATCAAATGTGAGATTTTAGTTGTGTAAAATGTAATGTCATGGGTGAGCAGGTGGTGTGGTAGTTAAAGCACTGGATCCCACACGGCCAACTCGGCAGTTCAAGTCCTGAACTTGAAAAACACACTGGACACGTGTGTGTGCATCCCCAAAACCTGAGCGAAGAATGGAGGAGAAGGGCTTGTGGTGTGGCCATCTCCCCTAGAGGATACTTTCACATTTTCCCTCCTTCTCTGTCTCTCTCTGGCGAGTGTATGTGCCTTATGGCAAAAAACTTAAAACAAACAAAAAATTAATGTTGGGCCCAGCAGATGGCGTAATGGTTATGTCACTGAACTCCCATGTAGTTGAACATAATTTCAGTCCCAGATCCGGGCGCACGTGCATGTGTGCCCAAAATCATGAGAGGAGAATGGAGGAGAAGGGACTGTGCTGTGGCCACCACCCCTGGAGAGGGGAGTGATTTCTCACTTTCTGTCTCTCTGTCTCTGTCTCTCCAGTGAGCACACATGCCCTATTGCAAAAATCTCTTTCTAAAAAAAAATGTCATTGTGAAACAGAAGAATCATTATTGTAAGATTTTAAATATATACTGAAAGAGAATTAGTCCTTCAAGAGGATTCTTTCACAAATTGGAAGTTATTTGATGACACACTCACTCCACCCCACACGTAGCTAGGAAAACACACAAATGAGAGACCATAGCGATTTTTCAAAGAAAACAAAAACGAGTATTTACTCAAGACTCTTACAAGAGAAGATGACGATATTAATCTCTCTTCTGAGTTCTATGCCAAGGTGGCCTTTTGATGTTTTCTCTTTTTTCCTGATGGTCATTTTTTTGGTTTTGGCCTGATTCAAGTAAAAAGCAGGGAGATTTTTGGAGACAGGCCTGGGAGCTGAGTGGATAGAGGAGATGACTTTAATCTCCAGGCTGTGAGGTATTTTCATCTCTGACCAGAGGCAAAAAGAAAAGAGGAGATTAGTAGAAAAGATGCTGGTTTCCTGGCTACTTGGCCCTGGCCTCCCTTCAGTGTGGGCCTGCGGCAGCCTCTTAAACTTTCTTATACACTAGTGCACTAATAAAAGTCTCCCACACCCCTGACTCCCGAAAGGGCCTGAGCTGCCTCTCTTCATTTCAAAGAGAGCTTCTCAAGAAAAGCAAAACGAAGGGCTTTTCCTTGAGAGGTTGAGAGACTAATTCCAAAAGGCTTCCCTAACCCTCTCCCTGAATATCTGTGTACTTGTCAAACAGGTGGTAAAGATGTATTTTGAAAAGAATTTACTTTTTCATATCTGGCAGGAAATGTGGGACATAAAAATTTGAATCAAGAGCCAGCTCCCTAGTACTGTGGTTGGGAACTGTGCTGAGGAAGCTGGATCTCACATGGCTAACCAGGATTTGAGTCCTGGTCCCGGCAGCTTATACGGCCACTCACCCAGAATCCTGATGGGATAGAAGATTGGAGGAAAAATGATTGTGACATTACTAGGCCCCATGCAGGGGGTGATTGGTTTCTTTCTGTCTGTCTCTCTGTCTCTCTCTCTAGTGTGTGTCTAAGTACCTTCTGGCATAACAAAATAGAATCAAGTCATCTACTCTCTCAAAATGAGCTTAATGGGAAGGCTCTTGCATGTCATTCCTAGGGACCCAACACTTGTTCTCTCTTGACGCCAAAGCAAAGACTGCCCTGGAAAAGAGGGGAAGTAGGGAAGGGGGTGAGGTCAATTATCTTTTAAGCAAAGTGAAGATGGGATGAAGCCTTACCCAAATGGATGGAAAGATTGCTACTTTTCCTGTCATCTAAAGGTGTCTGGGGATTTAGGAGAAATGTCATGGGATCGTTCAAATTGTGTTTGCGGCTGTCAAGGGGGATCCTTACTATAGGTGTCTCTGTGTAACTTAAAATGTCTATACTCTTGTCTCAGACTCACCTTTCCTTGGCATTCTGGTTTCTAGAAGATCTCTCGGCACTGCTGGTTTCCTCTCCCTTTCCAGTTCTTGCTGTGCTCTTAGTCTTTTTCTTGGCTGATCTGGAAAGAGATATGTTGGTTAGAATCCCCATTGTTCCAAAACCAAGGCTCTTTCTTGAAAGAAGCTTTATCCTTTAGCTTCTAAAAATGCCTTGGAAGCAAATAAACTTTCAGAATCTTAGAACAGGAAGGATGGAAAGGATCACAGAACACAGAACACACTGCATTTCAAACTGTCTTCTAGAAAACCCTCAGGTGCCATAAACATGCTGGAGGCCAGGAGCAGCTAAGCGTGCGGGGCTTCAGGAACCCTGTCCAAGGACACACTGTCAGGCGGAGCTGCGGGGAAGTGCAGGTCTCCTAGCTCCAGTGCTCTTCCCACCCATCACTGTTCCTCCTAGCTGACTGCTCTTTCCACGGGCTTTGCCAGTGAGTGTCCTATCAGGCCATTGCCTGGGCACTGTTCCTTTCCAAGAATCTGCTCTTGTTCTTCCGACCCGACCTTGGACCCAGTTTCCTCAGTGTAAAATGCCCAGTATACATCATGTACTCAGTCACTGTCCCTTCCCTGATTTGATGAAACATTAACTAATCTGAATAAAAGCATAGCTGGGAGTAACCTATGTCCAGGGTTGAATCGGGGTTCTGACCTCCAATAGTGAGGTTTTGGGCAAATTCAGAGCCTGTCTGCACCTCAGTTTCATTGTTTGTAAAAATGGGGATGATGATCCTTACCTAGCAAGGCTACTGTGGGGATCTGTCTGCTTCTGTTCACTTGACATGTTTGATACAAACAAAGAACTCAATAAATAACATCGTTTAGCACTCTAAGAAGGTCAATCATAATCCCACCAAGTTTGTCTGGATAAGCTCTCTGAGTGACTCACTTTGAACCTTTTGCTGACATCAAAATATCTTTTCTCCTTTGTCGCTCTGCGTCCTTCAGGCCATCATTAAAATAGGTCGTCACATCTGAATCGATCAGGTTGCCAGTGGGATCTAAAAACACCAGCTTTTGAGTCTTTTTCTTGAGAGTTTTAATAGGGGACTGTCTGCCACTTAAACTGACTAAAAAAAAAAAAAAAAGAAAGGATTAAAAATGAGTTCCAACAATTCAAGAGTGCAGGCTGTAATGCCTGTGGGCTGGGACAGCACGAGCGGTCAGGCATCATCTCTCCTCTCCCAACCCCCTGCTTGGCTGCAGCCATGGCCAGGACCACCGCAGGGCACGTGCATTCACCCTGCCCTCCAAGCACAAAGAGCCACCTTCAGGAACTTCCTAGAGACAATGAGGGGCCAGAGGCCAGGACTGCTCTGCTGCTCACCCCTCCTAGATTACTCACCTAGCTAACTTGCCTCCTGAGTTTAGTCTCATCCCCAGTGCTACCTCCTGCCTTGACTTTCCCCAAGGCCCTAAGGCAGAGCCGGGGCTCCAGTTGCTATGTCCCCACTGCATTTCGACCAAACTGTTTTGAACCCAAGCACCTTGTGGCTGCATCACTGTTTGCTCATCTCTCTGTCTCTCCCCTGGCCATGACTCCGTGAAGCTCAGGGCCATGTCTTTTCATTTACATCCCAGCATCTAGTAGAGCACCCGACTCTCCTCATCAGTATCAGCTTGCATGGTAAGAATGAATGAACGGTGTTCCTCAGTTCCGTCTCCAACCTTCCTGGCACCAGGGACCAGCACGTGGAAGACAATCCTTCCTGGGATGACCCAAGCACCCCACATCCACTGTGCAACCCATTTCCAGCACTGCCACTTTACAGTACGCAATGACACAGTCACACAATTGGGTTGTCACTCCCATAAGAATCCAATAGCAGCCCCGATCCATCCGACAGGAGGCAGAGTCCAAGCAGTAATGTGAGCGGTGGGCAGCAGCTGCTCCCTGACAAAGTCTTGCCTCCTCACCTGCTGCCACCGCCCCCATGTGGCCTGGTGCAAGGCCCAACAGGCCACAGACCAGCATAAGTCCATGGCCCGGGGGTTGGGGATCCCTGTTTTAGTGCTGCTATTGACTCAGGTTACTACGGCTGGGGCCCGATTCTTTGAGTCACATGGATTTCTGTGGTTGAACTGTCCTGCCCATACCAGGAGGAGGACATTAGCTTTCCCTTTTATGGATAGGAAAACTGAGCAGGAAAAGGTTAAGTGTCCTGCCCAAAGCCACACAGCTCAGAAGCGGAGAAGCCCCAGGATCTGAACCTAGGCCGTGTAGCTCTTAACGACAACTAACAGAACCACGAGAGCAAGCAAACCTGATGAAAATACTTCATCAGAAGAGAACACGTTGCTTTCTGGTTTGTCCTCAACATTAGCTTCTTCCACATCCTGTTTTTTGTCAGTGTCCAATGTTTCTGCAGGCTGCAATTAAAAAGAAAATCTTGTTTATACCTAGCAGGCAATTACCCTGGCATTGAATTTCAGAGAAGTCAGATTTCAAGGCTAGATTGACGGTTTAAAACGTTAAAAAAGAAAGAAAGGAAGAAAGGAAGAAAGCAAGCAAGCAAGCAAGCAAGCAAGCAAACAAACAAGAAAGCAAGCAAGCAAGCTGAACGTCTTCTGGACCAGCAGTTGGCGGAATAGCTATGTCACTGGACTCCCATGTAGTCTACTGTGGTTCAAATCCCAGACCCAGTGGCTTAAACTCAAACTGGGTGCATGTGCATGCATGCCCAAGAGGAGACTGGAGGAGAAGGGATTGCGGTATGGCCATCCCCCCTGGGGGGTAATTTCTCACTTTCTGTCTCTCTGTCTCTATCTTTCTGGCGAGTGTACACACCCTATAGCAAAAACCTCTCAAAAGAAAATTGAATGTCTTCGATTGACCCCAAGAATCCACAGTAGCTAGGGACAGGTGGCCCTAGTTACTGCTTTCAGCAACACATTCAAGATGAAAGATTTCTCTGCATGGGAGCCAAGAGACTGCAGTTATGGGTTGTCATATTTGGTTTCTACCTATTTGTAACCTAACTAAGCCAAGGTGGTACTGACTGGCAAATAGCTAAGAAGTTTTTGGTTGCTGCCTGAGGTAAAATTCTTAGGCCAACGAGTTGAATGAACTTTGGGGTGATGACTCCTCGCACCTTTCAGAAATGACAGTTGTCTTTTTGATTCTCACACTATTTCATGATACCAATGACCACAACTATACAACTGTAAGCAGGCAAAATACCTATTTCATAGCACAGAACGTAAAGAGCACTGGAGGAAAAAAAGCCTCGGATGCATGTGGTCCACTGAAAGATGTGATTGTTGGGGTTGACAACTCATTATGAAACAGACCCAGACCCTAAAGGCACTCACCGTAAAGGAAAAAATGATGACTCTGAGTTCATTAAAATGAAGAACTTCTGGGAACCAGCAGTTAGCGTAATGGCTATGTCGCTGGACTCCCACGTAGTCGACCGCGGTTCGTGTCCCGGACCCGGTGGCTTAAAACTCATGCTGGGCGCGTGTGCGTGCGTGCCCAAGATCCCAAGAGGAGAATGGAGGAGAAGGGATTGCGGCGTGACCATCCCCCCGGGGGGGTGATTTCTCGCTTTCTGTCTCTATGTCTCTCTCTGTCTGTCTGGCAAGCGCACGCGCCCTACAATGAAAATCTCTCAAAAAAAAAAATGAACTTCTGGCTCATCAAAAGACATTAAGAGAATGTGAAGCCAACTACAGTGTGGGAGAAGATGCCTGCGGTACATATTTCCAAAGGACTCCTAACCAGAGCAGGAAACAACTCCTACAAATCAATAAGAAAAAGGCAGGTGACGAAACAGGACCATGGGCAAGCGGCTTGCAAAAGGCACTTCACCCAAGAGATCTCCAACCAACCAGTAAGCATTTGCAAAGGTGCCCAACGTCCTTTGTCAAAAGGAAATACTGATATAGTCAATGATAACAAAACCAGGAGCTTCTATCCAGCTTAAGACAGTGTGATGAAGGCCAGCCCCGAGCTGCGAACATAACCAAAGCAGCAGCAGGATTGAGAGCAATCAAAGAACTGCCAACAAGGAAGCGAAAGACAAACCAACCCAGAAGTTTCAGGTGAAAGATGTAAACAAGCATTTCACAGAAGGGAAAACATAAAAGCTGACGAAAGACAGCAATACAAACATGTACTGCCTTTTTGATCATCAGGGAAATGTAAACGTGGTACTCCATTTCATTACCACCAGATTGGCAAAAGTGACAAAGTCAGAATGTGAAATGACAGGAATCCCTCTACCCAATTGGGAGGAGTACAGAGACTACCTTAGCAGCATCTGCGTTGGTCTTTTTGGTCCGCTTCCTACGTTCCTCCATTCTCTATTCAAGGGAAAAATCAAAAAGTACAAGAGATTAAAAGCCACAGGGATCCTGAGGAGTTGATTTTCTCACTTTTGTGGAGGTGAATAATGGCAGTGATGCTCCCAAACCACAAGCCTGGGGTGGCAGCTGGGGCCCCTCTTCCAATCCAGCTGTCAGCTATAATATGCCTTGAATGGTGAAGGGTGCAGTTGTCATCGTAACACAGATTTGGTCATGATATGATAACAAGTATGGTAACATACTTACTAGCATAACACGGCTTCTCACTCCTAATTTTGTAGATGTGGAAATTCGTCAGACGAATCACGTATTACCACAAGCCAGTTAGAGCTCTGAATGTGATTTTAGTCTGGGCAGACCATACCTGGAGCTGATGTTAATGAAAATAATATGCCTCAATGATGCCACACAGTCAGGGACTTTGGTACTACAAAGAAAAGCCAGATGGGAGGCCAAGGAGGGGTGTGTCCTAGGGAGGGGTAGGGAAATCTGTCCCCAGGGTACAGTGACTTCCTGAAGGTGAGGAGAGCCCCGGCAGGCAGCTTCCTGGCTGCCTGGCCTCAGGGTGACAGATTATTGACAGAGTGGCCTTGTTGCAGGCCCCTCCTCTGGGACCAGGGCTCCCAGATTAGTCAAGGGGGCTGTGGAAAGTGTGGTCCTACCTTAGGAGCAGCCTGCACCCTGGCCTCTTGGAGAGGTGTGCATGGCCTGCTCCTCTCATGCAGTTGCTGCAATCTCCAGCCCAGTTGAGAAGAAGCTCTAACCTTCACCAACCTTGCCCATGACAGGAGTAATTCTGCTCAAAGGGGCTCTGCTCCCAGAGGTTCACTATATTGAGGCATTACTGCAATGGCCTCCAAGAGTCCATGGGGTATTGGCACGTACAGACAACAAGAGGAGAGCCTTCTATGGAGAAGTCAGGCCCTTGGATAAGGGAGAAGAGAGTGTGGTGGGGAAACCACCGGGATTTAGCACATACTTCAACTGTGGTTTTTGAAAACACATTTTCTTTTATGCGCCCAGCATTGTTCCAAACAAAGAATCAACCCCGCCAAAACAGAGTGAGTACCTTTCTTCTTTCAAATTTTACTTGTAAATGTTGTAATATATATATGTCCTCCTCCTTTTTGCATATATCAGCTTCTTCTCGAGCTTTTCTTTTGGCTTCCTCTTTCTAGGAAATTTGTATTAAAAATACCATTTAACCTCAGTACATCTGAATGACATCAGAGAAGTCCAGTTGTTAAAAAGTTAAATGGTAAATATTATCTGGCATAAGAGAAGGTACTAATGTACCAAGGTACATTTAATCAGTTTTCATGAATGCTCAATAGAAATTAAGCCAGTACTCACACTGAGCACTGTCTGAACTCAGTTTGGGGATTTATATACCTTAAGGTTTGAATTCATAGGACCAGCAGATGGCATATAATGATTACATGGCTGGATTCCCATGTAGTTGACCCTAGTTCGAGTCCGGGACCCGGTGGCTTAAAACTCATGCTAGGTGTGTGTGTGTGTGCATGCCCAAAATCCTGAGAAGAGAATGGAAAAGGGATTGTGGTGTGGCCATGGCCCTCTGGGGGTGATTTCTCACTTTCTTTCTCTCTGTCTCTTTGGCAAGTGTGCACATACCCTATAGCAAAAATCTCTCTCTATCAATAACAACAACGAAAGAAGATTTGAATTCAGATGGGTGAGATATTCTTGTTGGTAAATTTGATAACTGTAAACTTAAAAAAAAAAAAACTGCCAGAGGACATGCGCACTCACCAGAGAGAGAGGAAACGTGAGAAAGCACACTCCTGCTCATGGGGGATGGTCACACAACCCTGTCTCCATTACTCCTTTTGGGATTTGGGGCATGCATACACATGCAATTGGCATGTTTTGCAAGCTGCTGGGTTCCAGACTTGAACTGTGTGATCAGCCACGTAGGGTCCAGCCACTGGCTGCTGTCATCACTATGCCACTGGCTGGCCTGCCCTTAAATTTTACAGGTATTCTTCATGTTTTACTTTATGTCCTTGGGGTCATGAGGCGCAGTCGCATCATGTGTGGCATTATAGAATCCAAGGTATGGAAAACTGACCTGGGATGTTTCACCTGTGCAAGTGATCAGGCTTCAAACTAAGCCACAGCTAATCTTGAATTTGCTGCCTTTTGGTTTTGTTTCCCTTGAAAAACGTTCTGGGATTTTCTAAAGGTGGCTGAGGATGCCCTGCGGTGCCGTGGGTCACCATGAGACTGTAATACAAAATTGCAGCCAGAGAAGGCTGCGTTTGCTACTCTTTCTCAGAGACACAGGGTTTCAGCCAAACTTTATAATGTGAATCTTATTCCCCGATAAAAGTGTGAAGCCAGCAAACCTGTTGCAGCAATCTCTGCTCCTCTTGATATTGCTTAGCCTGTATAACTTCAAGTGTTGACAGTTCTGCTTGGTCTTTATCTGCTTGCTTTGCTGCATCTTTCCTAACGACATGGAGATTATATGAATAACGTTTGTCATGGGCAGTACCATATACCGCTTACGTGGGCTTTTAGAGTGGAACTGCTTGTGTAGAGGAATATGATTTACATTTACACCAGACTCACTACATGTTCTGTGTGGTTACTGTGCAGGACTTACAGTTTGACTCTTTTAAATGGAGGACACTAACCCTTGGGAGTAGAAAAAGGTTTCTAGCAAGTAGCAGACTATTTTGCATCTTGAAAAACACTCATACAAATGCACATGTACAGGAGAGATAATCACTCAACTGTTCGAGAGACCCAAGACCCTCCCAAAGGCCTTATTTCCATCTGTGCACGCCCAGCCTCACAGCCTATCTTACCAAGAGGTGATGGGACTCATTTACAGAAGGTCTGGCGATGCCCCAGTATTCAGCACTTTCGAAATGCTAAACCAGCACTGCTTACACAAAGTGATGACAAGTACTCTTCAAGTTATAGTTTCTTGCTATTCACAATATCCCCTCCTCCTTTCTCCCAAGCCCATGTAAAGTACGTGGCAAGTATGACTATGACATGACTATACCTCAAAGAATACTTAAAAACAAAATCGGTACTATAATTACTCCTTGAAGTCAGAAGACAGAGGTTTACGTTACAGGGCCCAACCTAAAATGGGCCTCATGGCAGAAGGGCAAGATAGTGTTCTCAAATTCGAATACCTACATGAGATATGTCACACTATACATGAGATTTTCTGCCTGCAGGAAATCCTTCCAGCAATGACTCAGTGCCCGCGTATGATTCAGGTGTCAGAAAGGTCATTGGAAATCACCCAAATTAAAACATGAGCAGGTATAATATCCAGGTTTATCAATCCCAAAGTTATAAGTCTTTTTTTAAAAAAAAATTGTTATGTACAGTTAATCACTACACAAATCTTTTAAAATAAAGGGGACCAGGAGGTAGTGTGGTGGTCATGCAACTGACCCGCATAGGAAAAGTCCAGATTTTGTGTCCAGGGGTCTCCCTGAGCACACACATGTGTATGTCTGTGATCCAGTCTGGCTGAGCCTGGGGGGGTATATCCTGCTGGGTGTACCTGTCTCTCTGATGGAGCAAATGAATAATGAAAATGTAAAATAAAGTGGCTTACACCAGCAAATGCAAATAGAAATGTTCTTGTGTGACCACTGAGATGCTACATATTGGGAGACCAAGCCCTGGACAGGAGTTGGGTCTTTCTACATATCTACCTAGCACACCATGATGGCCCGTGGAGTATGGAGACTACAAATGATTGCACCATTCATCCACACACCACGACCCTCTCTGCTCAGCCATTTACAAGGGCTACAGGGTTTTTTTTTTTCTACCTTCTTTACTTGTTTAAAAAGCAATGAAGCATTTCTGATCCTCGCTGAAGGAACAATCAGTTGCCCTTTGAGAATTTATAATTTGAGGGTAACATTTCGACTTCCAGTATTTGGGCCCCAGCCAAGGTTTGTAGTGTAGAAAGGATGATTCTGTGCTAACCTTTTTTCCATTTCTTCTTGAAGCCGCTCTCTTTCATCTTGCTCTCTAAGTTCACGAGCCACACGAAGTCTTTCAATCAATACTTGTCTTGCTTCGTCGTCACTCATACTTAACAGTGATCTTTTATCGCCGGACTCTAGTTAAAATAAACATGCAAAAAGTTAGTTAGGGAAACTTACTGCTTCTCAGTCCTACAGAGAAGTTCAACACAACTCGAAACAGTAAAAAACCAAACAAGGTGAGCCTAGTACAAAATTTATAAATTGCAAGCAAACTACAGGTTCAAAACCCCAATCCCCCCCCCACACACAATAAAGAAATAGCATTCTCTTTTTTGATAAGAAAGATCACTTCCTTGAGTTCTCTCTAATGTGGAATAAAATGAAACTGACTATCCTCCAACTACCTTAAGATTGTCTGTGTTGCTAAAATAAACTTATGAGAGAACTTACCTTCGTAAGTCACATGCCTTTGGCTTCCAACCTCAAATCTGTGACTCTTTTCAGTGACTGTTTCTTTTGATCTGGAAGTAGTCAATCCGTTTTGCACATGTACAGTTCGATGGTCAGATACTACTTTATGGTAAAGGGTAGGCTGTGCTGACTGTTTTGACATAACCGGTGATGGTGATGGAGGGCGGGTCTTATGGATTTGCCTGTTGAGATTAAGTAATAAAAAAAAAATGTGCTAACTAGTTTTCAGTGTATAGTTTCACAAAATATAATGCCTCAATTTTTATGAATGGATGATATGATAATCTGGGAATTTTTCTAATAGACCAGAGTAAATGTGCTTTTAAAGTTCGTTCCTTTACCTTTATGCTGCCATGCATACTGTATTACTTCATTTATGAAGCATTGACATGATATTTGTGCTGGAAAGACATCAGAGCAATTGCAGATAAGCTACTTACTTACTACCCATGGAAGAGGGTGGATGCCACCACCCACTGGTCTGAGATGACAACCACCTATAGCACGGCACGAATGATGACAGATGTTTCTTGACAATAGGGAATGAGTCATGCTTATCCACTCTTGATTTCTAAATAGACAATGCAATAGGATAAGAAATTACTAGGGATTATTTTACTGCAGCTGGCTTCTTTTTTTATGTGCATAACATTTTGAATGAAGTACCTTAAATCTGTGATTTTCCTCTGGTGCATGAGAATCAGGTATATAGTGATTTTCTTCCAGACTAACAATTTGTATTATACAATTTGAGTTGATGACAGAATTAATTAAAGAGACATCTTTTACTTCAAAACCTCATTCCATTTATAAATCCTAATTAACTGTTTGGAACAGTACTTTAAAATTTTTCCTTCAGGATTTAGAAAGATAGTTCACAAAAATGCTTACCTTCCCCCCCATCCATTAAAAATGAACTAGTGCTCCACCTTTTGGGGAAAACTGTGGTACAACAAACAAAAGAGAATTTTTTTTGAGAGGTTTTTGCTATAGGGCACGTGTGCTCGCCAGAAAGACAGAGAGAGACAGAGAGACAGAAAGCGAGAAATCACCCCCGGGGGGGATGGCCACGCCGCAATCCCTTCTCCTCTACTCTCCTCTCGGGATCCTGGGCACGCACGCACACGCGCCCAGCATGAGTTTAAGCCGCCAGGTCTGGGACTTGAAACGCGGTCAACTACATGGGAGTCCAGCGACGTAGCCATTATGCCATCTGCTGGCCCCACAAAAAAAGAATTTTTAATGATTAGTTGAGGTTAGCCTATTAATTTTACTATAGAATATTCTAAATATTAAGTTGGTTATGTTGTGAAATCTGACCTATCATGATCTATACAATGAAATATACATATATATATATACACACACACATATATATATATATACACACACACACACACATACATACACATATTTTTTTTCAGAGATTTTTGCTTATAGGGCACATGTACTACCTGAAGAGACAGAGAGAGAGAGAGAGACAGAGAGACAGAGAGACAGAAAGCAAGTAATCATCCCCTAGGGAGGATGGTCATATCGCAATCCCTTCTTCTCTCAGCATCTGGGGCAAGCATGCACACACGCTCTGTGTGAGTTTGAAGCTGCCCAGTCTGGGATTCGAACTGCGGTCGACTACATGGGAGTCCAGCAACGTAACCATTATGACATCTGCTGGTTCCTTATGTATATTTTTAATAAAAGTAAATCAATAAAAGGCACTTGACAAACCTGTAGAGAGTCTCTGACTTTCATCTTGGGAGCCCCTTCCACCATCACCTCAGTGAATCATTCCACACTCTCCTCAGGGGTCATGTCCACCTCAGGCGACACATCCACACTCACCATGCTCAGCACGAGGACATGTCCAGGCTCACCTTAGAAGCAGCTCTCATTCCCCCTTTGGGTGTCGCTTTCATGAAAGACATCGGGTACACCTCCATGCTGGACTTGAAGGGCAATTCTGTTCTGGTTTTTGGGTGTGTCTCTCCACTGATGTCCGGGAGTGCCTCTCCACTGTCCTCAGGGGGCACCTCTCCTCTGGCCTCAGTAGGTGCCTCTCCACTGGTCTCAGGGGGCTCTTCTCCACTGGCCTCGGGGGATGCCTCTCCACTGGCCTCGGGGGGTGTCTCCCCATTTGTCTCAGGGGATGCCTCCTCTGTTGCCACGGGAGGTGTTTCTTCTTTCTCCTGTGGGCCTGTCTCTGATGTTTCAGGAGGCACTTTCGTTGTTACCTTTGGACGCCTGAAGACAGCCCTCAAGTCTTCACTTGTACACCGAGGCAAGGGCACATGTATGTACTTTATTACATAGTTGCTGTGGCCTGTAACTGAATGAGGACAGAGAATGAAATTCCATAAAGTTAGAAATTTGACAAGACAAAAATGCACCATGTACAAAGTATAAGAACAGGAACAACAAAAGAAAAGAGAGACAGTTTATTAGGAAATCACAGGGATTATAACACAACACAGGAAGTGCTAAGGGAAATGAATTACAGACACAGGATAGAACCATTGCTAAGTTCGTACTTCAGAAGCAACACAAGCAACTGTTGGGAGACAACAGTCTATTACAGATGAAAATAAGATGCTTCTCCAAAGTTGGCACCTGCAATAAGCCATTTCTATTTTCATCTCACTGAATTACAGAATGATTTGCATAGACAACCATGAGATCTTCAACACTTGTAAAAAATAGTCTAAACCTCTTCACCAGGGATAGAGACCTTACCATTATAGGTGATTATGTAAGACATTTCACATTTGATTGTGTCAGAACAGAATGTAAGAAAGAGCATTTTTTACCCATACTAATAGCTGTAATGAGACATTCATCAGAGTGGGCTGGGTCCTGAAGCTTCCTTCCAGCTTTAACCATCTAAATATTTTTTTTTTGCCTATGAGATGGACCAAAAAGAGAATACGTGGTGGTAGGAGTAAGTAGTAAGTAGCTGAGATGGAGGAAAATGATAGCATTGATGTTTGGAACCAAGCAACCTCATCCACTGCTGGCGGGAACAGCTTGGCAATATATATCAAATCCATTCTAAAAGTACATGTTCATTGTTCTATCATTCCACTTCTAGTTTTATTTATTTATTTATTTATTTATTTTGAAGAGGTTTTTTCTATAGGGCGCGTGCGCTTGCCAGACAGACAGAGAGAGACAGAGAGACAGAAAGCAAGAAATCACCCCCCCCCCGGGGGATGGCCATGCCACAATCCCTTCTCCTCCATTTTCCTCTCGGGATCTTGGGCACACACGCACACGCGCCCGGCGTGAGTTTTAAGTCACTGGGTCCGGGATGCGAACCACGGTCGACTACATGGGAGTCCAGCGACATAGCCATTACGCTAACTGCTGGTCCCTCCACTTCTAGTTTTATTCTCAGGGGAAAAACCAGATGAGTTCAGAAAGATGTATGCAAAAGGTCGCTCGTTAGAGCATTGCTTGTAATAGTGAAACAATTGAAAATATAATCCAAATACTCAACAGGAAATTTGGATTATACAAAGGCAGTCATTAGGAGTAGTAAAAGTCATTTTTTGGGACATAACATGGCATATATTTACTTTAAATAAAAGCAGGTTGTTATCTCACTTTGTGAAAAAAAATGCATAAACACACAAGAAAAATATTAAGTCACCAGTGGTGTTGGGATCACAGGGGGTTACATTTAAAAAATTGTCCGACACTCACTATTTATTGCTTATATAATAAAGAAAGTAAACACTTTTAAAAAGGTATTTGATGGTGGCTTTCTTAAGACTTGGTAAATATATTTATCATCTCACCATTACGTTTGGGTGCCACATTTTCCCATGATGTCATCAAATAATTAAAATAAAACAAGTGGCCAAAGATGGACTACTTATGAATAAAACTTTGACTCAAATGTTATTTTCAGTCCCTCATTTTTGGTGGAGAAAGCATTTTATTTACAAATCTGCATGTGTCTTGACAAGTCTAGTATTTAACACCAAAACTCTGTGCTACAGAAAACAAAGTATAGTAGGTTTTTATTAGCTACAGAAATCTAAGACAAAATACTGAATTTTTGGATGGCAGTGATTATGGAACTAAAAGTAATCAGAAATAATCTTACAATAGATTCTGGGGGAGGCAGAGCCTGGCAGAAATAATCTGATATGACAAAATCAGGAATTAGAGCCAGAAAAGTTAAGGTAGCACTACAAGGAAGTCTGTGATCGCATTTTCATTCATATTACGAGGCACATGGATATGGACAGAAACAAAAGTAAACGGGGCAGGAACTATCCTAGAGAGGGCAAAGTAGAGGGGGAAAACGATGGGAACAACACATTAGGACTTTCTGTTTTTAGGAACTGCTTGTTCCCCACAGTCACGTCTAATAGTACATGGGAACTAGAAATGAAAAAGCCTGTATAATCCTGAAGATTTATTTTATCTTACTAACAGTCTTTATTTCCCTAATTACAAGCTGAAAGACAGCTCAATGTAATCCTCCCATATTTTAGGAAAAGAAGAAGGGTGCAGTAGGAAACTTGCTCCCTCGATATTAGTAAGGTTTTTCAATACTTTTAAAATCCATAGAGCCTTAAAATTTAATGACCACTGCCAAAGTTAACCATCTCATCCTATAAATTACCTATTACCCAGATTATTCTACTATGCTAGAAGTCTTCAAATAAAATCTTGGGTAAAATCACTAATTTGGTAACTTGGTTTATATGAGTTTGGAGCCTAAATACAACAAAGTGACAGAGTCTGTTTTAAGGGCAAACACTAACACTTTCGGGCTTTCTACCATATGCCTGTTACCTGGACTAGGCACTCCAGGGACGAGCAATGAACCAACATTAGTGCTTCTGGTTAATTTCGCTTTTGCTGGGATGAGCAGCTGACTGATTAATTTATCATGTCGAGGACTAATAAGTGGATGAAGAGCTAAATGATGAGAACAAATCAAAAAGGATTCAGTGTGAGACCTCACAATTAAATGCACGGCAAGCTAAAGCAACATGAACCACTGTAAATGGTAACTTCCCCAGCAACACATGACGTCACAGGACTGAACACAGTCATCTGAGCGGACGGCACTATTGGGGAAGAGAGGACCTGGATAGGGGGGAAAGGCCACAGCATACCACAGTATTCCCAAGGAAGAAGCCTAGGGAATGTAGTCAGCAGAACCATTCCCAACCACATGGAGTCCTACGGAGGAACATACACATGGAGAAAAGAAGTGCACGTGACGAAGCAACTTTTACAGGGCTTCTTAGGGTAAATGCCACGGGGTGACCATAATGGTCCAGTCAACTGCCTAAAGCTCTAAGGGACTGACTGAACTCGTTCGTTAAAAGTGACTTTCACTGTAAATATCTTGCTCTGATAAATCTTTACGTTCATAACGATCCCTGGGACAATGGCATGTGACCTAAATCATTGCACTGGATAGTCTTCTGGAAGTGAACGGTTCAGTTTGAAACATAAAGAAACAAACACATGTGAAAAGGAAATGCTGGGGGCGGGGTGGGAGTGGGGAGGAAGGTGTCAAAAAGAAATGACTTTAAATAAAGAAATACTTTAGTAATAATTATAAACTTGTGTGTGCAATGAGCAGCAGTGACACCACGCACAAAGGCTATCTGCAGGAATCACCGGAAAGCAACAGAGCACAGCTTTGAATCGAAACAAGGCTAGTAATGTGTAACTTCTAAATGCACATTGATGTGGCATGCTGGAAGTGAAACAAGTCCTCCACTTCGAATCTAGCTATACCAACATTCTAGGATTTATCTCCTCTGCTTCACTGCAGACCCCTCCTCAGATTACGTCAAGTATCCTTCATTAGCACAGAGGGCAGGAATGACATATTTCATACAAAGATACACTTCTTTGGCTTCAGCCAAATAAGCATGGCACTGAAGCACATTTTTTTCAGTTCTAGAAGGGATATGTTGGCCTCCAACGTAGAGCTGACTTTTCCAGCAACTCAATGCTGAAATAAATATCCCTCTTTCAAATCACTATGTCAGATTTGTACTTAGAGATGACTGACCACCTGAATTTTCTGCCACTTGCTCTGTACCAACAAATGGAGGAAACTTGCCATCTCTTCTATTTACACACGTGGTTTTCTTCTTTTCCGCTGTTCCTAGAGACCAAGTGCAAAGGAATATTATTTTTCACAAATGACTTAAATATATTATTTTAAAAGCGAATAGGTCTTGTTTTCATACATTTTTATCCCCTCTACCCTTGCTGGTAAGAATTTATTTAATTTCAATTAAATGTAGTGTCTACACTCCCAAATTTAAAACTAATTTAAAGTTATCTGAAATTTTAAATAAAATCATTTAGAAAATCATACAAATTATATGGGAAAATGTCTGATACTAGCCGATAATAGGAAAGTTCCCAAATTGGGATTACACAAGCTTTTCATTTTAAACACTGTGATGTCTAATTCTCAGCTTTTCATTTTAAACACTGTGATGTTTAGTTCTCAAAGTAATTTATGCTTTTGTAATAACCACTAGTTTTAAAAAGATAAATGAATATTAACATTCTATATACACATGTCACAGTTTCAGTGGCCCAACCATTCAAAAGGGAAAATTGGCTGCTTCGAATAGTCACTTCTCCATTTCACTTGAAATATTTCAGCTCAGAATACGGAGGAATGTCTGTTTAAAAAATCATTTCTCTCCTGGGGACTTGTAAATCAAAGGACATATTGACAATATAGCATTGTTTGAAAATCCCTTGCATTGATAATGTGACTGAGCACCATGAACAGTGGTGTGACCAGCTGAATTGTGTGATTGCATCATGCAGCCTTCACTAGGATACTGGAAATACCATGAACAGTTCCCATGAGGCAGCAATGAGGCTATCGGTACAACCAAGATTTAAAACAGGGCTGTTGAAAATATTAGGGGCCAGGTGATGGACTTCATTTGAGTGAAACATGTTGATCTCTTTGGATTGAGCAGGTTGCATTTCAATTTAAAGAGATTTCACAAAGGTAAGACATTGCTAATATTGACCTTATTTTCCTTGGAATCACTCATTATAGCATTCATCACATCAACGTGCAACATACTATACCTTTAAGGAAGTTATTTTACAAAGTATTTCCTGCACATGCCTTCTTCTATTAAAAATTAGTGAACAGGGGACCAGCAGATGGCATAAAGGTTATGTGGCTGGACTCTCATGTAGTTGACTGCAGTTCGAGTCCTAGACCTGGTGGCTTAAAAACTCACACCGGGCTCCATGTGTGTGCCCAAAATCTCAAGAGGAGAATGGAGGAGAAGGGACTGCAGCATGGCCATCCCCCTGGGGATCGATTCCTCACTTTCTGTCCATCTCTCTGTCTCTCCAGTGAGTGTACATGTGTATAGCAAAAATCTCTCTCTCTCAAAAAAAAAAAAAAAAGAAAAGAAACTAGTGCACAGATCATTTAAAAACCTTTTTGTGGTGAAGGAATTGCAGTGTGGCCATCCCTGGGGGGTGATTTCTCACTTTCTCTCTCTCTGTCTCTCTCTGGTGAGTGTACATGCCCTATGGCAAAAACAATCTTTTTTTTGAGAGAGATTTTTGCAATATGTGCGCTCCCTGGACAGAGAGTGACAGAAGTGAGAAATCACTGGCCCCCAGGGAGGAGGGCCATGCCACAGTCCCTTGTCCTCCGTTCTCCTCTCGGGATTCCGGGCACACATGCACACGTGCCTGGTGTGAGTTTCAAGCTGCCAGGTCTGGGACTTGAACTGCACAGTCGACTATGTGGGAGTCCAGCAATGTAACCATTATACCATGTGCACCATGGTCCCCCAAACAAACAAGTAAAAAAAAATAAATGAATAGCAAACTTTTTTACAGGGCCAGTTGGTACCAGTGGTGGTTAAGGTGGCTGGATTCCACATGGGCTGTGTGGTTTGGGTCACAGGCTGATGGCTTGAAAAACATGCCAAATACACGTACGTGCATGACCAAAACCCTGAGGAGAGTGAAAAAGAAAGGATTGTGGTGAGGCCATCCCTCCTGGGCGGGTGCTATCTCACTCTCCCTTACCACCCATACCCTCCATAAGAACATGTATCCTATAGCAAATTTAAAAAGTAACTAAATCCATAAATTAAAAAAGCCACTTGAAATTCTTCCTTCAGTGCAACCTACCTAATTATTACCTTGAAGTTATAACCTATTCCTTCTCTCTCTCTTCTTTTAAGTTTTTGCCATAGGTCGTGTGCTCTCACCAGAGAGACACAGAGATAGAAAGAGGGAAAGTGAGAAATCACTCCTTAAGGAGCCATCCCTTCTCCTTGATTCTCCTCTGGGGGTTTTGGGCATGCACACAAATGAGCCTGGTGTGACTTTCAAGTCACTGGGTCCGGAACTCAAACCACAGTCGGTTATGTGGGAGTCCAGCCCCTTAGCCACTATGCCACCTGATGGCCCCCGTCCCTTTCTTTACATGCATTGAAAGTAGACATGATAATGAAAGCATATTAGTGTTTACTCATTATATTAAATATGTAATAAACGTCTGTGGAATACTACTTTTTTAAATCCTCAAAGCAATCAAATAGTTTAATATAGTCAATTCTTGTGGAATAATTAAGATATATTAAAATGAAAGTACATACACATGGCATTGCAATTAAACTTATCTAATTTTTCCAAAGGACTTAATTGATGGGTAATTAATTTTACCACATGACAAGGAAGGCGCTGGAGAAAAATCTTCCCACATTCACCCATGAATGAACGCAGGCTATACATAAAAGTGCTTTGAGAAAGCATACCCAAGGTGGGGGTGAAAAGTGGCTCCGCTTTTCTTAGGCTGAGACAAGAGAATAGGTGATACAGTCACACTGACAACAAAATAAAAGATTTTCCAAGTGCACTGTTGAAATAGTAAGAGTTGTAAAGTACAACTAACACAATTTAAGTCTTTTTTACTTTTTTTTTTTTTTGGAGAGGTTTTTGCTATACGGCGTGTGCACTCACCAGACAGACAGAGAGAGACAGAGAGACAGAAAGCGAGAAATCACCCCTCAGGAGGGATGGCCACGCTGCAATCCCTTCTCCTCCATTCTCCTCTCGGGATCTTGGGCACGCATGCACACGCGCCCGGCGTGAGTTTCAGCCACCAGTTCAGGGGCATAGCCAGTACGCTAACTGCTGGTCCCTTTTTTACATTTTTTTTAACACAATTTAAGTCTTAACAACAAAAAAAATGCTTTCTCTAGAAATATTTTTCAATGTTTACTATACCTTTTTAGACAAAAATAAACACCTTTTCCACTAGGCTAAACATTGCTATAATTAATTATACTTCATGTGGTATTCAGGATCTTTGCTGTACTGGAATTTGATAGCAATCAGCGTTGTTCAAAAAATGTCAAGGCACCTGATAATGCCAGAAAAAGTTTAACTGAAACTCTAATTATGCTTTTTACAACTCGCCAGACACAAAAGTAGTATGTCTTCATCTTTCTTAATGGCTAAATTTGAAGTGATGATATGGAATTTGTTTGCCCTGTCTTTTTCTTCATCTGATCACTCCTATTGTATTCTATGGAAAGAAAAGGTATATATGAAAAGGTATATAGGAATAGTTACCCAATCCATTCCAACTGTCAGTACCGTTTGCTCCAACTGTAACACTTCATGCTACATGCCAGAAATGGTCATTGACACATACCTGGGTATAGGCTTCTTTTTTTCCTAAATTTCCAGAAGTTGTGTGCACTCAGAGAGACAGAGAAAGAGAAAGAGAAAGAGAGAAAGTACCATGCAATGGGATATGGTCATGCCCTAATCCCTTCTCCTCCATCTTTTCATCTTGTTGAAATTTGGGGCATGTGTATACACTTACCTAGCATGTTCTTTTTTTTTTGGAGACATTTTCACTGTAGGGCGCGTGCGCTCACCAGACAGACAGAGAGAGACATAGAGACAGAAAGCGAGAAATCACCCCCTAGGGGGGATGGTCACGCTGCAGTCCCTTCTCCTCCATTCTCCTCTCAGGATCTTGGGTACACACGCACATGCGCCCGGCGTGAGTTTTAAGCCACCGGGTCCGGGACACGAACCGCGGTCGACTACGTAGGAGTCCAGCGACATAGCCATTACGCTAACTGCTCGTTCCCCCCCTCCCCAGTGTGTTCTTCAAGTCAGTAGGGCTAGGATTCGAACCATAGTCAGCCATGTGGGATCCAGCTCCCAGTGCACAGTACTTAACTACTTAACTACTGTACTATGCACAGTACTTAACTACTTAACTACTGTACTATGGGGCCAGCCTAGGTACTGATTTGAAAAAAAAAAAAAAAGAGTAATTAAAAGCACAAACACCAGGACAAAAAAGGTATTTGAAATATCCATAGTAGATAACTTTAAAACACTGCATTGCAACTGCAAAGAGCTATAAAGCAGAGTGTAGCAATTTTTGTCATGAAACACTGCTATCACTGTATTTGCTTTAGGGGAAAACATGGACTTGCAAGTAAAAGGCAAATTTTAAATATTATGAACTATGCTTCAAATGCCCAATATAAAAACCATAACAAAGCATGTTAAGGGCCAGTAGGTGGCATAGACTTTAAGGCTCTGCATCTCACATGGCAGACCACATGGTTTGAGTCCTGGACTCAGTGGCTTGAAAAACACACCAACCCTGTGCCCATAATCCCAAGAGGAGAGTGGAGGAGAAGGGACTGTGGGGTGGCCTTCTCTCCTAGGGAGTGATTTTTCACTTTCTCTCTTTCTCTCTCTCTCTCTGTCTCTCTCTGGCATGCACCCTGTAGCAAAGAAAAAAAAAAGTTAAAGTAGAAATTGCCAAATTTCTTACAGTCTTAATTATAAAACAAGAAAGGAAGACAATTAACTTGCCTGTCATTTTGACAAGAACACCCACTCGGAGCTACCTGAGCCCAGCAATCCCATCTGATGTGATTGCTACAAAAATCATGAAACAAGGATGTATGTTGACAAAAATACAAAATAGTAATAACCATCTCACTTACTACTGTAAAATAAGGTGAATATTCTTCTGAAATATATCTAAGGATTCCACAATTTAAATAAATGTTACCATAAAAATGCATACAGAAAATTGATTTCATAGCATTGTAATTCAGTAGAATACATGAAACAACTACTTACTCTTGGCCAAAGAATTGTAAATAACTGCAGGTGTCACACATATCTGTTTGCTGAAATTAGAAGTATCTTGTGGAAGTTTTTCAGTAAATATATATTGTCTACGGCCTGAGAAAAGAAAACATTTACCATAATTATTTTTCTAGAAGGAAACACCATTAGCTGAAACAAATGCGTTCTCATGATGTACCTCTTTGGAGCACAGACGCACATTAATGAGGTATGTGATGTCCATTGTCAGTCATTCCTTCCATACTACATACATGTAACTTAGGTTTTAGGAAATAATTTAAGTAATTAATTTTTTTCCAGCTCTTAACCTTTTTTTAAAATTTTTTTTATTATCATCATAATCTTCTTTATATTACATTGGATTGCATATAACTTTACAGTGTATTACATTGCTTTTTCAAAAGGGAATGCCATGCATGTCCGCCAGTACAGAGACATTAATCTCCCCACTTCAACATTCAATAGCTTTTCTATGTTTTCCCCAATCATTATTTTTATTATTCTAATTATTTTTTAAAACAGTCAATTGCTATTTCTCATTTTGCTTGTAAAAATACTTTGCCCATCATGAAATACTTCTCAGACCAATCCAGTTGAGAATACTATACATGTCATCATCAACAGGTAATAAGCCCTATCTGTTTCTCACCAACGTCCTGCCTCTCTATTGTTCTCTTGCTATCTTTCTCTATCCTCTTCTCTTCACCTCCCCCATTCCACACTGTCCTATTCTCATTAAGTACCTTCACTGCTTTTATGTCCTCCGATTTTTTGCTCTCTATCATAGAGTGCGGATAGTCGGTATATATTGAGTGGATACATACAATATCTAATTTAATTTATTTTTATGAAATTGCGTAGATAATCCTACACATATACAAAAATTTCTAGTGAATCAACAGTAAAATAGGCAGACTTAGTTTATTTTTTAAAAATATACATTGGATAAACTATGCGGTGCTTAGTAATCATGTTTATGCTGATTATAAATTAAAATAAGATCTTGAGTCTATTGAGTTCAACGAGGTTGATTATAAAATTTCACCTGTCTCTTCTGCAATGATGTAGGACACAAATTTGAATCTAAATTTACTAAATACCAGGAGTTTTGTTTAGGATACAAACATTAAAAAGCCTTGATGCAAATGCGATCTCCTATAATAATGACCACTATTTAAATACGAACATTAATGAACTTAGAAGGGAACAATTGTTATTTGTTACCATACTCCTTTTCAGAATTCATCATTGCATACACGGATTCCCATGACCATTTTTTTTGCCGAAGCTCAGCCCAGTTGCTTTGTTCCCCAGTACGGTAAAGAACAGCGTTATACTTTTCCTATTGAAAATAGATTCCAACACATTTGTACGCGTTCGTTATATTGGTTAGTATCATTTTGATCTGTGGTTAATAAAACAACCCCATCACCAAATTTCTGTATCGGGGAAAGGTTTGAAATAATGGGAGCCATGCCTCAGGTCACGCAGTACCCGTGCTGGTCCTTCCTGCCTGGAAGAACAGATCCTGCTCCCCTCTAGGTCTCTATCATTCGGAAATTAAGAGCCCAACCTGTCGCTCATTTCTAGCTGCTGCACAAAGACCACGTGGAATACTTCTGTGTATGCTAGTGAGCCCGTAAGCTTGATTATTTGCCTGCCTTCATTTTCCCTTCTGCTTGATTCTCTCACCCATTTCTTTTATCATCGAGTGTGTGTGTGTGTGTGTGTGTGTGTGTGTGTGTGTGTGTTTTAAGCCACCTTAAATTCTTTGTGCAGTGAGGCAGGAAAAAAACCAACATGCACAGAAGTGAAGTCTATATCAGTCATCTACTGCACTCCCATTTGTAACAGCTTAAATTCTGGGGTTAACTAAAAAAGTTTCCAAAAGGTAACTGACATCTTTGTCTTGACCTCGACTTCAATTGAAACAGATCGGGAGAACAACTATTCCATATACACATTAAATGCACCGTGGCAAAACAACTCCACTTCCAGAAATGAGTTCTTTTCTAAAAAAGCTCTTTCTCATCCAGGAACTGGAACACATCATGGACGGTACTTAGGCAAGCACATCAATTTAGGGCCGGCGGTATCTATTGTCCCTAACGATCGTTTCATAGCAACAGCACCCTTACGCTGCAGCTGCCCTTTCTCTGGGGGCAAAGATAAACATACTAGACAAGTGGAGAGCAGTATGTACTCTCTGGGGAGAAAAGCAGCTGCCGTGCCTTATTTTCTTTTGTTTTGTTTAGGATTTTGTCTGCACTGGCCAGAGAGAGATAGACAGAGACAGTGAGAGGGAAAGTGAGAAATTGTTCCCCAGAGAGGATGGCCACATTGCACTCTCTTTTCCTCTAGTCACCTACTGGGATTTGGGGCATGCACATACAGGTGCCCAGCATGATTTTCAACCCGCCAGGTCTAGGATTCGAACTTGTGGGAATCCAGTGCCCTAACTACTATGCCATATGCTGGCCCCACAGCTGCCATTCTTAAAATCCATCTAATTGCAGTATTTGGAAATTAGATTTTCTTTTCTTTTTTTGAGAGATTTTTGCTTTAGGACGTGTGCGCTCGCCAGGAAGACAGAGAAAGAGAGACAGAGAGAGAGAGAGAGAGAAATCACCCCCCAGTGGGGATGGCCACGCCACAATCCCTTCTCCTCCATTCTCCTCTCGGGATCTTGGGCACGCACGCACACGAGCCTGACATGAGTTTAAGTCACCATGTCTGGGACTCGAACCGTGGCCAATTACATGAGAATCCAGCGACATACACCAACTGCTGGTCCCAGAAATTAGATTTTCTAACAGACAGTAAGTTGTTCTAAATTACTTATAAACCCTGAAAGTATAATAAACTAATAAAGGAGAATAATCTTGTATTATGAAACGATTTCTGACTCGTAAGAATCTTGCCTCTTGGGCTAACAGGTGGCATGGTGGTGAAAGCACTAGATTTCCTCATGGCCAACCATAGTTTGAGTCTTGGACCCAGTGGCTTGAAAATCATACTGGCCTTGTGTGTGTGCATGCCCAAGATCCCTAGAGGCGAGTAGAGGAGAAGGGATTGAGGCATGGCCATCCCTCCTGGGAGGGGATGATTTCTCACTTTACCTCTCTTTGTGTCTCTCTGGTACCCTGTTGGGGAAAAAAAGGGGGGGGGAGGGAGAATCCTACCCTACTGTTTCCGAAGGCATTGACCCTCTTATGCTCCCTCGAAGGTTCCTTGCTGCATCTGAGCCACCTCAGCTTCTATGTAGTCCTATCCTGAATTCACATGGCTTCCCATTCACACTCACCCCCACCCTGCACTACCAGATTTAGGTTTCTGCTCTGCTCTCCGGAAGTAGTCTCATCTTCTATGTGTGGCCTGCTCTCAGCACCCCATGTCCCAGGCTCTGTCTAGGCCTCCCCACACTAGTTCCCTATTCTCCTTAGCTTTCTGCCCATTCCCCAGCCATGTCTGTCCCCCAACGCTCTCTGTCTATGGTGCTGTTCTGTTGCAATCTCTTCCCTGTGCTCTTTCTCAGCTTCCTTTTTCTCTGTGATGGTCTTTTTTCTCCCTCAGTGACTGGGATTCTCTCTCTTCAGGGACCCTCCCTCCATCTGCACACAGTTTTCTATTTCACTTCCTTTGGTTCTCAGACTGTCTTTACTTAGCTCACATTCTCTCTCTTTCTCCCTCTCTTTCTCTCTCTCTCTCATCTCTTTACCATAGATAGGTTAAAAAAAAAAAAAGTCCTCATAAAGGACAACTGAGAGGGAGAGAGATTCTGAACGAGAGTCTGCCAAATTCTGAAACATAAGCCACACAGGGCACCACCATCCACAGAAGAAGGTTCAGAAAGAGAAAGAGATGGTGGGCTCTGGCCGGAGAGAAATGGCTTAAGAAGAGGCCTAGGGTGGGGATGATCTCCACATGGGGTACAGGGCTGGGAGTGAGGCAGGGACAGAGTGAGGAGGCGGAGGGAACCACACACAAAAAGACAGAGCGGGAGAGACACAACCACAGGGAAGAGGAGAGGGAGAGAAATATGAAAATGAGAACAAAAGATGACGACTGGGAGATAAAAATACACACACACACACACGCACGCACGCACGCACACACACACACACACACACACACACAAAATGACAGCCAGAGTCCACAGGTGGAGGAAAACAGGCAGAAGCTAAGCAGAAATAAAAGCGTGCTGTCTCAGACAGAAAAAGGCCAGATCACAGGCAGAGAACCAGACGGACTAGGACTTATTTAGGGACATCCACGTCACTGGACCAAAGAAACAGAGAGAATGCCAGCAGGCGTGAGAGTGGCATTTCTGGGACCACAGCAGACCCAAAGTAGTCAAGTGCATCCCAAGCAAAGCAGTGCGGTGAGCACCCAGAGACAAGGTTGGCGTCTGTGAGGAATCGCACGGAATGAGATGGGCAGCCGATGCCCTGTGTGAACCACAGAAGATAAGCCGAAGAGGGATGGAGGGTAAAAGAGAAGGCATGAGGACGCCCCTGACTCCTAACAACAGTGTCACAGTCACCCAGGAAGTCCAGAAGGAAGAGAGAGCAGCGGTGCCACAAAGTGGGAGGGAGAGAGACAGAGAGAAAAAGAGAGAGCACGAGGAGCGTGCACACTGAGGAACCCAGTTTTGGCTGAGGAGTCACACAATTGGAGGAACTGAGACTTTAGGCAAGTGGAGTGTACCAGGGAGGGTCAGATGGTGGGGCTGCCCTTCTCTAGGCAATGGGAGAATAGGGGATGTTTGTGAGAAGGAGAGAGAGAGAGCCACTTAGAGCAAAGCCTGGGCCACAGGTACCCCATTTATGCCACACGTCCCGAAGGTGGATGGGGCTCTGTTCCTAGAC